ATTTTAAGCAAATTTTTCACTGTCCATATGTTTTTGTAGGTACTTTCTAAAATATGTTATACAAATTTATTTATATTATTGAATAATGCATTTTATAATTGGATTATTCCGTTCAAAATAAAATATACATATTTAAGACTGATTCATAGTGCAGTACTTTACACATGGGAGTCATGGTTTGATAATCAGTGTCAAGGCATAGTTATCGTTTTGTTAAGCACTTTCAAGACCAAATGGTGACGCTATATAAATTTGTCATTTTTGTTCTGTACTTTACACAAAATATACAAATTATGTTTAAAAACAATAACAGTGATAAATAAAAACGTATATATCTCGCTTTAAAAGATTTGGTCCCATACTGTGTTATATATTTTACAGATAGAATATCTAAAGCATATTTGTCAATATTTTTTTTTCTTTTTTTTTACGAGGGTTCGCAACAGCAGAGGTCATATAAACCCTCAGGGTACCGGTGTTTTTGAAAAAAAGCCCATCTGTAAGTATGTCGGGTTCGAATGCAGGGCCGCTGGATTCGAACCCGAGACTATTACAGTGATGAGCACCGTGTCAAAGACTAAACATTGCGGCCACCGACGCCTCCACTTTTGACAATATTTGATTAATGCATTACAGAATTTAATTAGTCCTCGTACCACTTTTTAACGCCTGAAGGATACACATTATATTGTTTTGAACTTTAAATACCACCCCAAAATTATATTTGTTTATCATATAATGTATCATCATACACAAAACATAGAAAGATTTTTTTAATTATTCCTAATTATGGTAAATATGACAACCTCTGAACATTTAGATTTACCTTGATCCGGCCCTCGGACGATAAAATTATTATTTTTTTTATTTTTATGTAAAAATTACGAGGTTAACTCAGGTAGATAAAGTAACACAAAAATGTGTGGACTAAAGTGTATTTATTTCCAGCCATTGTAAAACTAATAGATGGTTTCATTTGACGTCAAAACATAAAAAGATATTTTAAAAAATGAGGGAAATTCATATGGTTGAATGGTGATTCAAGCTTATATTTCTAAGCTTTACTTTTTTTGATAGTATTTAGTTTAACCCCAAATAGTTTAGTTCAATGAACGAACACATTTTCCATAATAAACACTTATCTAGCTGGTCTAGTTATTTAAAACTAAGAATTTAACAGTAGTAATAATAGAAATAATTTGTTTGAAAAATATGTAATTGGAACGTCCTTGATTCATAAAATGTTAAGCATTAAACAGGTCTTCATTAATACAACTTTTAAAAAAAAACATGAAATATAGTCGGTATTATGAGTTTTCCAAATTAGTGATTAATTATTTCAATAAATTTTAGTGATATGCTGGATAATACTATTATGATAACCTGTACTTTCTTTAAACCCAAAGAATGAAAAATATGTTTTTAATTAATTAAGTAATAATAAGTAAGTAGTATTAAGTAAGATTAAGTATAATAAAATAAGTAAGATTAATAAATTAATCAAATAAAACCCTCAATTAATTGTAAGTTATTACTTGGTCAAGCGGACCACGAAACTAGTGAATTTAATATGTTTTTAATTTTATCGCATGTTTTTCTATTCACAGGCAATCAAGAGGATTTACTTAATTTTAAGACTGGGTAATTTAAAGAAAATTACGTAAATAGTAATTACGTAATTCAGAAAATCATAAAGAAACATATAATGTAAATTTGAATGTTTTGGTTGTCTTCGTTTAGTGAATATAATAAATAATAATATAAAAAACAACAATTATATTCGATTAATTTATGAATGATTAAAAATAGAATGGAATGGAGGTCAGAGGATAAGCATAAAATTCCAGCTTGTCAATAGGGTTTCCGCAAACGTAAATCCACTAAACAGAGAATTATTAATATAGTAACTGATATCCAAATGACAATGTGTCTGTTAGCAAATGACTTTTTAGCCTTTTTTTAGACTTAGTGCGTTTGATAGCCTGGACCAAACTGGACTAGGTAATACAATTATTACAATCGGTTTTCCTCCAAAATTATCAAGAAATGTAATTGAATCAAATAAATCGTTCCAGAAAGTACGCTGCTTTCATGCGATAAACAATAAAATTAGGTGAAAACTTTATGGTCCTTTAAGGTCCAAAAAGAAGTAAGGTTTTTGGGAATGTTCCTGGATAAGACGTTATTAAGTTGGAAAAACACAGGAAAATCTCGGCACAAAGAAAAAAATATTTTACATCCTGAAAACAGTCGATGGGGGTCAATCTAAAGAATTATTCTACAGAGTAACAATAAGAGTTATTTTAATTTACGGCGGGTTCCTTTACGAAAACGTTGCAACAGCAAAATTGAAAATGCTAAATTTGATACAAAATCAGGGTCTGAAGTTATGTATGGGATATGTGAACATCACACCAATTAATGTCTTGTTAGCCGAATTATGCAACTCCCATTTGAACTCAGGTGACAATAGCCGATAAATTCCCTCTAAAAACTCTGATATTCAACCAGCACCTGTTAAAAATTGTTTATGCGCCTGAATCTTGACAAAAAAATTCTTGAGTAACCCCCTTTAATTACCAGTTTCTGAATATTAAAATGTTGGAAAATAAAGTTACACACTCTGAAATGCTGTCGATATTCTTTCGGAATATGTGCTTATTTTCTACCAACAGTATTTTCCAGAAAGAAGGACCCAAGCCAGCTATCACTCTATACGCAGATGGCTCTAAAACAAAATACGATTTAAAATATAAGGCCCAAATTTAATACGAATGTCTTATTAAATTGCCATACGATAGTACTATTTATTCAGTTGAAATATTTTTAAATTCGAATGGACTTAGTTAACTGTCTCCTTAAAAGAAATGAAAATTTTGCTACCTGACCAAATTGTAACATTGCAGATACCATGCCTTGTATCGAATTATATCGGAGATGCAAAGTTTATTAAAAACAAAAGAATAACCTTTTATGTAAGGTTTTGGTTGAAATTGAAAAAAAATGGTGTTGCGAGCGGGATTCGAACAGAGTTCGGCTCAATATGCAGCTGCTCTAACCTCATGAGATATCGTGACTTCGATCCACTCCGACACCAATCAGTTGTCAATCATACTACTAAATATAATAGATTTAATAAGTAAAACAAAGTATAAACGTATAAAATATTTAGCCGAAGGTCGTGGGTTCGAATCCCGCTCGTGACCCTAAATTTTTCATATCAACCAAAACCTTACATAAAAAGATTAATTAAATGAAAGAAGTAATTTGGTCAATAGAGCACTAGATATAATGAATTTCACAAAGAATGAGGTGAAACTTGTCTGTTTTCAGGCCCATGCTGGAATAAAACCATATGAAAAAGTGAATACATTGGCGAAAAAAGCAGCGAAGAAGGGGTCCAATTCGATGTTCACGGTTCCACTCGCAGAGTTCATAAATGGTCTGTAAGGAAGGTATATAAGCTTGGAAACAGCCATACAGAGTCAGAAAAAGGATGGTTCTATAAAGCAATACAACCTCATTTCCAAACAATAAATAGGTTCGAAGTAGAATCAACCAGCAGAGCTTTGGATAAGACGATAAATCGACTCCTCTCTAACCATGCTATTTATTATTTTTATTACCTTTAGTATTGTTATTACTTAAACCAAACAATTTGTCAGACTTAGCAGCCTGCGAGTATTGTGGGGAAGCAGAACCTGGAGCATTAAATACAAAAAAGCAGAGCTAGTCAACGAATTGACCTAATAGAGTTTCCATTTAATTTAAAAAAAATGAACTTCAATAAATGTTCACATTAACAAGAAGGTTCAAATGTTTTTAAAATAAATATAAAAGGAAATTTAGAATAATTGAAAAATTAAAACGTGTTCAATTGTCATGGCTATGGCTCATTAGCTAATGCAAAAAAATGTTTTGTGTAATTCTTTGTAAAGATAATTCCTAACAAAAAGACGGGCTTAGGGATCAAACTACCCACCAGTTAGGTTTCGGGTACAAGAGGTCAATACATATGACAATGCTTTTTCCATATCAGACTCCAATAAAGAGCCATGGACTAGGCGATTCGAACCTAGAAAGATTAGGGTGACAAAAACCTGTCGGTATTCATAATCATTATTATCATTAATTTACTAATTATTTTCATCCTTTTACAAGTTACCAGAGTGTTTACAGGCCTTGAGCAAAATCAGATAATTTAATAATTTAGATTTGGCATTAGCAGTTGAACAGGCTGAATCCAATACAATTGAAAACTGTGTCTTAAATGTTTGATCTTCCTTCTTCCCAATAATAATTAATTAAAAAATCTAAACAATAACGCAAGGTTCTAAAACGTTTTTTTGTTTCTCCTGTAAAAATTTGAACCGGTTTGAAACTAATCACCTCACATGTTCAGTTAAAACATTTTTAAAAATAGGAATCAAGGGTTAAGAAACATCAAGTTACCTTAAAATTAAAATTAATTTCTTACATATTACGATGTATATTTAATACCATGAACTTTTCTAATTGTAACAGATAATCTTTATTAAGTTTAGACAAGATTTTCTTGGCTTAGTCTTTTGTCTGCCTCTGTCTTAGAGCGTTATTCACCTATTGGATGTGTTTAACTTGATCGATTCGGCGATCGGTCATTTTTTGAAAGTTTGGAATTTTACGAAACGATTTGTGAACTTAGGATGTTGATAAATATGAAGAGTATCTTTTTTTATCTACCTTGCTTTGGCTTTGATAATCAATGTTAATTAAAACTAGGTTGACTGATTTTGGAATATGACCGACGACCTCGAGACTTGTTGCCTAAAAGGGCGTTTTTACGGTGATTAAAATCGATTTTAATAATTCATAAAGTGGTGAAACAAATCCTTCAAAAAAAGACGAAATGTCGTAAGAAACTAATGCTTCTTGTTAGGACATGAGTCAAAGAGGGGAAACATCCTCCTTTCAACTACTATATAAACACGGTGACCGTTAACCATGAAATTAAAACAAAAATGTTCTGTCAAGTGAGTTGAAAAAGCCTTACACAGTCCTACAACAAATATGGATATGAAGTTGTGCTAAATATTCAAATTTTGTTTTTAGATCGCCGTTGTTTTGTGCGCAGTCGCCTACGCAAGTGCCGGAAGTGCAACAAGCTACACCGCAGTTTGTAAGTAAAATGAATTTTTAACCTTCCAATAAATAAGTAAACTTAACTCAATTAAATTGGTTTTATATTATTTCATTACTTTCCAGATTGTTACTTTCTTTTATCAACCGGGTTTTTGATAATTAACGTAACAATTTACGCATCATTTTCAAAAGAATATTATGAGAATATAAAAAATTACTATCTATTTTTGAATAATATAATAATAATTCAATAGCAAATTTAAATCGTTTAAGTTAAACACTAATAAAATGGAGAAACAAATATCATAAAACACATAAATCAATGATGACAACCTAAAATATTAATAAGGTTTCGCAATAATTTTCTAAACTTAAATGTGCAATTATGTAAAATTTCATTTTTTAATTATTTTTTAGATTTTGTTAAAACGAAGGAAATTCATTAATTTTTAAAGAAAACGTTTAAAATGGAGATTAAAAAAAGGTTCCACATTATTTGTTTTGTTTGTTAATATGTTTGAAATTTTGAGTTTTTTCTTTTGGGAATAAAATCCTATTAATTCATTATTAATTGTCAGCACGGCCACATTCAGACAGCTATAAATATGCAATCGACCACGACCACTACGGACACTGGTACGGCGAGTCGCATCCTCACGGTGCCGGAGGACTTGGCAAAGGGCACGGGACTTACTTACTCGGAGGAGGTCACGGCGTTGTTGCTAAAGGTGGTTACGGTGCCGCTTACGGTTACGGCCACGCTACCAGTTACCAGAACCATAATCAGCACCACAAATCGTACGGCCATGATCACTACGAGCTGAAACCCGTTTATGGCGGAGTTTATTCGCACTACGTTGTCGAAGACGAGGACCACGACCATTATTACAAACCGACTAGCTATCAGAACCAAAATCTTTACGCGTACGGCTACCATGGCTACGGAGATGAGGGATACGGCGATGCCAGCTACGGAGATTTTGGCTACGGTGATCACGGCTACGGCGATCATAGCGACGATGGATATAAATTCGAAGATCTTGAATTTGACGGCTTAGAAGGCTATTATCACGGTCTTTACTAATCATCTGGCTGAAACTTGACATCATCGGATAACTGGCATAAAATAATGTAAATAATCGTGTACAGAATAAACCAACTATTTTTTAAAAATGAAAATGAAATTTCTTTTGATTTGTAAAAACTATCCACAAAACTTGAATGAAGAATAAATTATGAATGAAAATGAAGATTGAATTAATTAGTAACATAAGTTAAGAAAAATATTGTGGTTCACTTTTTTTAAAGGACAACCCTCGTTAATTTACACTTTAAAAATTAATTCCTCGAAAAAATTATTTATTTCGTCGACTATTCCATAATATTCAAATATTTTATTTCATTCCAAATACTGGTAGACAGAATTTAATCTTTGAGTGTAACAATTATGTTATTTTCAAACTATTACAAAATATAATCCTACTTTTTAAAATATTCAAAATTATCTTGCATCTTTTTGCAAAAATTAGAATTTCGAGACGGTACCAATTCTTCTGTTTTATCGGCATTTATTCAGAAAATGTTCGCAATAAAATGAAACAACTTCGATAATCAAGCTCCTGGCTAGTCAGAATACAACATTTATTCCTTCAATTTCTGAGTATTTCGACAAAACATAACACTGCTATTGGATAAAATTTAGTCGTTTCTGATCATGTTGGTATAATTATCATCGCTGAGGTGATCAGTGGGAGGCGTTTGACATTTCACCAACTTCAATGTATCTGTATAATTTTTATTCGACAGTGCTTTTGGTGGATTAAATCTGTATTTTATTATCCAGAAATCGTGAGATGTGGTCTGGTATGATGTAGGTTTCAGAAAAACATTTTTTTATCGTGCCAACGTTTCGATCTTTATTGAGATCATCTTGAGGATCTTATACAAAAATGTCTTTCTATACCGAATTCCTTCCCCATCCCTTCAAAATCCAACGTATATAAACATAAAACAGCAATATCTCACTGGCACTTTCAACGCGACCCGCAAGAATGGCACACTTACGCAGAAAACAAACACTTTGAGTGAGTAGAAATACTTTGATCGAATATAAAAAATATATATTTTTTCCATTGTATAAATTCACTTTTTTTCACATCCTACATGTATTTGTTAAATTTAAACAATGTTTGTAAATCCCAGGCCCTGAAGATGATCTATAATTATCGACTAACGGCCACTAATCACCACACATTTCTGTTTTATTATTCCAGTCGAAAATTGCGAACATCTATCTTTTTTCTTTTGTGTATGTGCTGTGGATTTGTATGTTTATGAGTTGTTTTTTTTTTTTTTTGTGTGCTAAACGTGTTAGTTTGAAGGTAGTTTCATATTGTTGAGTGTTCCAGATGGTTTTGGAGTTGTTGAGGTGAATCCATTCATCATTTTTCCTAAACGATACGATCCTTCTGTCTGGCTTTTTTTTCTTCCTGTTTGTCCGATGAATTTGTCTCCGAATTCCCTTGTTATGGCATCGTGCTTCATTTATCACACGGGGGATCTTGCCTTGACATCCTTACACTGAGCTTTGTTTCGTATTAATAACTGACGTTACTTAAGGCGGAGAAAAATATTTAAATGGCAATTGCATTATGCCATTTTTGCTGGGTGTGTTGGTTTTTCAACGTTTTATTTAACTATTGAAGGCAATGGACTTTTAACGAAACATTTTTGGGAAATGCTAGTTCGAAAAATATGAGAGTAATGTGACACCTATCTGAGCGTTCTTGCCAATGAGCCTTAGAAGGCGAAAAAATTAAATAATTTAAGCAATTTTTAAACATGTGTTTATTTTTTATTGTTCTGAATGTATTTTAATATTATTGAACATCAGTAGATTTGTATTTTTACTTAAAAGAAAATTACGTACAAGATTGTATTCAATGCTGTATACAAATCGATTAAAGTAGACCAATAACATTTGTTTTTTAAAAAGAAATTGGGTTAGTTTTTACCACCTTGGTAAACCAATAATAACGAACTTTCATCGTAATCAAACATATACATTTTTAGTCTGGATTTGCCAGGGACTATACAAATTTTTTCTCACCGATAGTCATTCAAATTGCAATTCAACGTTAATAAACAAACCGTTGCAAAGAATCTTTATTCTTTCAAGATATATCAGAGATGTTTACATTTTATGGGATTATAAGTAAGGAAAATAAGAACAAAATCATCAAAACTCAAAAAGAAGTTGTATTCTTGAATCACCAGTTCTTATTTCTTTAAATGTGGTCAATTACATGTATTTAATGTAATAAGCCGCATGTACCAATAAATGTGGTCAATACGTGAAAAGAAAAATATATTTTTCGATATCTCCCAAATATCAAAATGCATCCTGCAAAACACGCAATATCAACCTTGTTTCTTCTCTTTCTATTTTAGCCTACTTAGCTAAGTCGCTCGTATATAAATTATGTATTTCAATATCTACGATACCTTAGATATATATTCACGCTTGCTGCCAAATAAAATTTTGAAACAGTGACCGAGCGATATAGGAAAATTAAAAACAAAAAGAAATCAGACTTTGGAAAATCAAAAAATAATTTATTGTCATCAAAAGTTTCCCCTTCCGATTTTCTTTCTAAAATCACAAAAAAGCAGATAACTTTAAAACGACTCCAGGGATCGATAGAAATTTTTAGATGAGTTCGGACCATTACAAACACAAATATGCATAGTAAAATAATTCCTTTTATTCAACCCGCTGTCATTACGAGAATAAATTGTTCAGTCACGAAAATAAATTATACAAAATTTTTAACGAAGTATAACAATAATAAAATTGTCTAATACACAAATGAAATAACAACTAGTGTAAAGTCCGGAGCACCCCCTCGCTATGAAAATTCTCCACTGCCCATACAGAGTAGTTTACGACAGGCTTCGCTCGCGGACGCGACCCCTCGGGATCCGCTTCGGTGAGTCCTTAGGGAGGGCCGGATTGGCGCTGGGGACGGTGCTTCGGGTGGGGAACCGCCCGACACCCCCCTGGACCTTTCCGGCCGTACTCGTCCGCGACGATCTGGCGAACTTGCCTAAATCGTGTACACCGCCATACCTCTACAAGGCTAAGNAAAAAAAAAAAAAATAAAACTAGTGTAAAGTTTTAGAAATTATATTATCCCAATCCGAGATATATATTTTCATATAAAGACAATCTTTGTAAACATTAAATTTTTACATTTCAGAAATTAATTGGTAAAATAATAATTAATTCTTGTTTTACGATTGTATAAAAATATAAGGGCAACTTTAATGAAAAATAATAATAAATCGTAATATGTAAACTTTCTAATTTCAAATTCAAAAAAATTTAGTGTATTACACTTTTCATTAAAAAAGAAAATAAATACTAATAATTTGCTTTCCATACTTGTGATGATAACGTGTTCTTGCTTGCCTATCCCTCTTGCTTATAGAGTTAGATATCTTGGTATGACATTGGACTCAAAATTGAGATTTAATTTACATAATGATACTTCGGTTCCTCATCTGAGAAAGCTCTTGTAAAAATTTAGAATTTTACACAACTTTATGAAAACTGTACGCTTATGGGCAATATATTTTTCTCTTTCACAATCCATAATAACCTATGGTATTGGTTCCAGCGGAGGTGCTAATAAATGCTACACTAAAACTTTGGATGTAACTATTCCCTTCTTAAAATTTTTTTCGTAAACCGGATAAATATAATACGAAAAAATTATACAGTGGATTTAAAGTTATGAATCTATATCAAATCGTTCTTAAATGTTCATGTTTGTATATATAAAAATAATCTTGTAACTGGTTACATCATCATAGTGCATATAACCCAAGATACAATTCATTATAAAGAGAGGAACACTATTCAAAATTTCAAAACCTACAAAGAAGATCAAAAATTTATAACTTCATACATTTTAAATTGTGTTTAAGATATTTTAAAGCAAAAATATACTTTGGCTGTTTATTATACTACACGTTTATTCTGTATTATGTTTGTTTAGTTGTTTGTTTTCTATTATACTTTTGTAAAGATATATTTTGTTTATTGCTCTGAGGATGTCCAAAAACTCCTGTTCTCTAGTACAAGCTTTGTTTTTCAAGCGGGCAGGGATGTACCAATTTATTTTTTGTTGTATATTTATATGTAATGTACATTCTTGCAAATAACGTTTTATTATTATTATTAACTTTAGATAAAGAAAATTAATTGGAAAACTACTTCATGTTATCAAATGTAATGAAGGTGATATCAAAGGTATGATTTTATGTTTACAACACAAAAAATTAATAAAAATCCGATTTAAATCCATAATCTAAAATTCGGAACACAAAAGTTTAGAGCTAAATTTGTAATTTTCGTTACTTCGATTTTAATGGATGCATTCTGGGTTACCTTAAGTGGTTTAAGAAATGAGTTTGTTATTGCATTACAATCATTAATTTCATAAACTAAAATATAGTGTGCCAGTGTACAAACTAAACTCATTTCAATTGATTAATAGACATCAAATTTCTAAAGACTCGAAATTTATAAAAAAAAAATTACGGATTCTAAAATAATCAAATCAATAAATTTAAACGTTAAGTTAGAATCAAAAACCACTCCCAAATATTTTATTTTATTAGTAAATTCAAATAAGTAAAAAAACAATCAATGCAATGAGAACAAGTATGGAAAGCAATTTTACTTATTTGAGATTGTTTCCTTGTAAAAATGAAAGGAATTACAAACGTTTTGTTCTTATTGACATATTCAAATATAATTATTGGATGACCAACAATCATTGGTCGTTATTTAGACGACAAATTTTTTTAAATATCAACGGAAAAATTCAGGGCGCTATCATGATCATAGCAAACAATTTATCAGATAAATCAAGTTTTAACTGATTATTTACACAAATAAGATTCAGACTCGCACAAATCTGGCCTCCGTACGTACATCAGAACTGAACATATAAAATATAACAGTTAAGAAATTTTTGTTGGTTTCTTGAGATGTCTCAATACTCAGTTGTTACATGT